GTGTACCTGTCTGATTCTTGCTTTGGAAGCTTCCTCTCAGGGGTGTACTCCACCGTGTGAGGTGTGGGGTGTCAGACTGCCCCTAGTGGGAGATGTCTCCCAGTTAGGCTCCTCAGGTGTCAGGGACCCACTGGAACAGGCAGTCTGTCCCTTCTCAGATCTCAGCCTCCGTGTTGGGAGATCCACTGCTCTCTTCAAAGCTGTCAGACAGAGTTGTTTGCATCTGCAGAGGTTTCTGCTGCTTTTGTTGTTGTTTAGTTGTGCCCTGTCCCCAGAGGTGGAGTCTACAGAGACAGGCAGGTTTCCTTGGGCTGCTGTGAGCTCCACCCAGTTCGAACTTCCCAGTGGCTTTGTTTACCTACTTAAGCCTCAGCAATGGCGGGCGCCCCTCCCCCAGCCTCGCTGCTGCCTTGTGGTTAGATCGCAGACTGCTGTGCTAGCAATGAGGGAGGCTCCGTGGGCATGGGACCCTCCCGGCCAGGTGTGGGATACAATCTCCTGGTGTGCCCGTTTGCTTAAAGCGCAGTGTTGGGGTGGGAGTTACCCGATTTTCCAGGTGTTGTGTGTCTCAGTTCCCCTGGCTAGGAAAAGGGATTCCCTTCCCCCTTGTGCTTCCCAGGTGAGGCGAAGCCTCGCCCTGCTTCAGCTCTCGCTGGTCGGGCTGCAGCAGCTGACCAGCACCGATTATCCGGCACTCTCTAGTGAGATGAACCCACTACCTCAGTTGAAAATGCAGAAATCACCGGTCTTCTGTGTCGCTCGCGCTGGGAGTTGGAGACTGGAGCTGTTCCTATTCGGCCATCTTGCTCCGCCCCCGGCATATGTATTTTAATGTGTATTTGTGTGTATTGTCTGTGTATGTCAAGTGATAAAGCCTTTACTGTGATGAGATCTTAAAGTTTTATTGAGTTCAAAATGTTTGTGCACTTAAACAAGTATTAAATAAATAATATGCAGTTATAGCAGAAATCATGAAAATAATATGTGAGTGACTGAAGGTCAGATCATCAGCCTGTGAAATAAACTTGACCTGTCTTAGTGGCATTTCAGGCCCACCGTGACCTGACCCCAAACCATGTTTTGACTAGATTTTTATTTCTGTTTCTCTAATATGCTAGTGTCTGAACAAATGTCATATCTTTACTTGTGCTGTTCCTCCATCTGAGAAGGCTTCTTTTCCTCTGATAAAATTCTGTTTGTCCTTCAGGAAAAAGGTTATGCATTGTTTTTTAGTACTTTCCTAGTGATTTGGACATAGGCGTATTCAATAATTTTTGCCCTGGGGATAAGTAAAGGAATAGATGGGTGAGTTAATGAAGAATGAATGAGTGAATATCCGAATGGGGGAATGAACAGTTCAGTGAATGGGTGAATCAATGGCTTAATTAGTAAGTAAATAAGGGGATAATGGAATGAATGAATGCCTAATTATGAATCTAGACTACTCCCAGATAATATTCAGTGCTACATGTAGTAACAATTTCTTGTACTAACAATTTTAGGATATTGGATGGTTTTTGGCCATTGGGAGTATCTGAGAGATTCCAGTAGAATCATAGGGAATATCAGAGAATTGGATATCTTGCTGTTAAGATTTGAAATACATGTATTTATATCATTAAAAATTCCTACCTCTACCCATCCTTCATTTTCTTGCTGATGAATAATAGTATTATTATGCCTCTACTATTAATTACATTTTCTGTGAACCTTTTTCTTAATAATTCATCATATGCTTTTCTGATTTTAGTATATTTTTGGTAATGCAATCCATTCTATTCCATGAAGTTTTTTACTGATTTTATTTTTGTCATTTGTTTTTTAACCAGTATATCAGGTTCAACAATTGTTACGTAATAATATACTGTTTTCAGGTATACCTGGTAAGGTCATCATCATTACTTTGTTCTTTTCCATCTTCTAGCTGATTTTTTTTTTCATTTAAGTTTTATTTGTAAAATTTAGGAAAATGTACCATGGGAAGTTGGTTTGATAGCATTTTCATCTCCATCGTGTTAGATACCCAAGCCAGGAATAACAGAGTATTATTTTCCTTTCGTATAGAGTACAATGTATTAGTGATATGTGCCAGGGAGAAAAGTAAGGCAGGAAATGGGATTCGGCATCCACAAAGCCTAAAATTTTTTTCCTAACTTACTGAAGACACTGACGTTTACTCACTGCTCAATAGTGCTGCTTTGGGTGTAAATGAAGTGTGGGACTGTTACAGGACTTTCTCCTTTGTTCTTGTGTTCTTGCCTCTTTTCTTTGCTTCTTCAAATTCACCTTCCAGCCTGACATTTGAATCTTCAGTCAGCATTCTCACCTCTGGTCTCCTTTATCTCAGTATTAGTAACTATTGTCCCTTCAAGAAGTAACATCCATGGTTAGTTTAACTATAGCCTAAATAACTTCCCACTCACAGCTGTTTCCTCACTAGTAGGGCCCCATTTTCTTGTAATTACATTTCTTTTTGTTCTCAGCAAATGCTGGACACACAGTGGTTACTTTTTACACATCCCTCTAATTACTATCTACTTTGTTCCCCTCTACCATCATTCCCAGTGCCCACAGCAGTGCGTGGCACACAGTAGTTGTTAACTGGATGGATGGATAGAAACATAGACAGAGAGCAAGTGTCTATACAGTTGATGCTTACTTAATGACTGTACATGCTGATTATTCCAGATCACTTCATGAACTTAGGCACATGAGGATTTAATCTGCAAGGTGAACAAATACACTTCTTTTTTCACTAAAACTAAAGTGAAATCACATTTATGTAAGATGACGATTTTGTCATCTTTAATTCCTCCTGAAGGAAAGACATAACCTGGTGATAATGAGCATAGATTTTAGAGCCATACAGATCTGGGTTTGAATGATGGCTCCTCCATTTAAAATCTGCGTGACTTTGGGTCGAGTTACTGAAGTTTTCAAAGTCTCCCTTTTCTTGTATGTAAAATAGGAATATGATATCTACTTCATTGAATGGTTGTGATAAATTATGTGCTATAATATATGTAAAGTGATTAACACAGTCTCTGGATCATAGTGATAAACCCGTTGGAAGAGACCATTTCTCTGTAGATACTAGCAGATACCTCTGGTATTTTTTCCCTTCTACTCTAACAATAAAAACGTGTTCTGCATTTATATTTTAATTCACACTTTTCAGATATTCTTATGAGTTTTTAACAAAAGTCTAGAAACAAGGAAAGTTGTCTAAGGATTGGTTGAAGGAACAGCTAGAGTGCTCAGCCTAGGGAAAAGAAGGGAGGCAGGGAAGGCATGAATGCAGGTGATTCAAAGGAAAGGGGAGGGAAGTAGGTTTGTTAGATGTTGCTCCAGAGGAGAGAACTGCGGCCATAGCTAGAAATTGCGAGGAAGCAGAGTTCATTCCGTATTTGAAAGTTCTGACATTTAGAGCTTCCTGTAATGAGGAGCTTGTCTCTTGCAGTGGTAGTGTGGCCCCCTAGTGCCAGCAGTTTTGATTGCCTAATGAGGCACCTGACCAAGCCAGGCTCAAGGATTGTTTCTCATGTTTTTGTATTCTATTGCACAGCCCAGTGACCTGCAGCAGAGTGGGTGTGAGTGGAAGGGCCTGCTCTTGCAACTAAACCATTGATTTTGAGGGACAGGTGCTAAGGAAGGCAGAAGTAGTGTCTAGTCCTGGACACTAGGACTAGAGAAGTCTTGTCTAGCAGGAAGATATCTGAAGAGTATAGCAGTGGACAGTCAACGATTTAAGCAGTCACCTTCCAGGTTAGCTTACATGAACTAGAAAGGTAGAAGGAGTTAGGCGACTTTGAATCAGGAGCCCTACGGGTATGTGGCCATTTGGAAGGCAAGTAGGCAGAATGGCTACCTGCATGGCTTCCATGGCTTACAGAGAGGGGAGGGGAATATGGCATGGCAAGATGCGGATGAAGGTTATCAGTTAGGTGTGAAGTCTGAGATTGGGAAATAAAGCAGGAATCATAATGTCAAAGGTGAGGGACAACACGGGAGAGAGGCACAAAGTGTTGGGACCAGGAAGAGTTGTCCAGCTTCCAGAGCTGGAGCATAAAGTTAGGACCATAGGATTAGCCTGAGTGCTTTGATGCTCAGTCCCGGAGTATCAGGAGGCTAAAGATGCTGTTATTCTATCAGCTTTAGGACATGGATTGGTCTTGTTCATGTGCTGGGGTTGAGCATGCAGGTAGGTTCATAAGGACCCCTACATGGGAAGGGAGCCAAGTCCTAGGAAACAGTCTACCTGCCTGGTTTCCACCTTCCAAACCCAAACTCCCAAACAGAATTTGTGTTCGACTTAGTGGTCCCCTTTTGTCAACAACTTTTTGGCATTAAAACTCTGAATGCCTTCTCTATATCCTGACAGACATGAGGGTAATTCTTCAGGAAAAATAGCTTAATTACCTTCTCCACGCCCTCTTATTCTCATCCCCAGGGAAAACCACATATACACACCCACACCCTGCCTTTTCTGTGGTGGTACTTCTTGGGTCTAACACAGTGGCTAATATTTCAGTTTGACCTTCTAGTCCTGATGAATTGCCAGTACTCATCCTGACCTTGAACCCTTCCTCTTGAACCCCGGTTATTGAGGCCTTATGCTTGTTTCCTTGCCAGGGTTGTTCCAAACCCTGATATCTCTCACTCTTTCCCTTCCTTCTTCCTGTTCTTTGCCTTTTCCAGAAGGAATATAGGCATCTGAGAAAGGTTCCATACTATTGTACATTGCTCCAGATAGGGACCTGGGCTCTTGCATGTCAGTTCATAAGCTCAGAATAGTTGGGACACAGCATTATTAGAGAGAGGCTGATAGGCCCTCTCCTGTTGCTACAGACAGGGAGAGGACTTGGAGAAAACTGCCTGGAATGCAGCTGGGACCAATCTTCATCTTACCCAGCCATATCAATACTTGCTGTTTCCCTGCTTCACTAAACTGAGAGATGCTTGATGTTGCCAGATGATAACATATTTGTGATATCCTGTAGGCCTGTCACTCAAGAAGAAATTGCTCAGAGACGTAAGCGTGCAAGACAAAGGTATGCAGAGAAGCTTGCAGCAGCACAGGGACAGGCACCCTTGGAGCCCACCCAAGATGGCAGTGCCCTTGAAACATGTCCAAAAGGAGAGGAGCCAAGAGGTATAACTTTCCTAAGTAGGCTCTGTTGCAAAGTGTTTGCCTTTTTGCTTAACTTGGGACACTCATCCTTTAGTTCTTGAGCTTTTTAAGCTTTAATCATAGCTTTTATCAATATTCTTTCCATTCTTGGTGTTTTGGTTTGTTTTCTTTTTTTCTGAAACTGGACCAAACATCATATTCACTCTTCCTTCTGTGTTTCCAGACAGTTCTTGAATTAAGAGGGCATTCTTGGCACTAATTATCTTTTTGTTTCTGGCAGGTGATGAGCAACAGGTGGAAAGTATGACCCCTAAACCTGTGCTCCAGGAAGAAGACAACCAAGAGTCTTTTATTGCATTTGCTCGAGTGTTCAGTGGTGTGGCTCGAAGAGGAAAGAAAATTTTCGTCTTGGGGCCCAAATACAGTCCTCTTGAGTTTTTACAAAGGGTAAAAATTGAAAGTAAAATATTTAGATATTGTTTCTCAAGGGTCTGATATCTTTTCACATTTTGTTGGGACTGGCGATGATCTTATTGGTAGATTTATTTTGTCTCTGGAAAGGCACACTTGAGTGACTGTATCTCCGTTTGTGTTGCTTTGATAACGTTTATCATGTATGTCTCAGTAGCATTAAGGAAACCAAATCAGTATGTGGACCAAATTTTCAGGCCTTATTTAATTATAAGGCTTTTCTCTTCTAGGCAAGAATCACCTTGTGGTTAGAGAAAAGAACTGATAAGAGCAGATGTCATGCTGGAGCCAGGGCAATGGCCAATCTTTGAGAAATAGGAAGATCCAAAAACTAGCTGGCTCAGGCCAAAGGTTGGGCCGTGAGCAGGGGATAGGCAGGAGTTGCATGGCACGCTGACCCTGAGTCTGGTCAGGAGGGTCTGTAAGTAGGTGAACAGGCAGCATCTAAAAATGCCTGAGCCAAGGGGCAAACAGAGATCACAGGCTACAGATGTCTCAGAACATTTTTGGAAGTAAGCAAGATATATGCATTGTAATTATATCGTAATTAAATAATAGAGGTCATAGGATGAAGACAGTGCCAGAGGTCCAAGTAGCCAGTCTGGATCAGCACAAAGCAGTAAGCTAGGAAATTGTCAGCTGGCACTGTGGAGCATCATGAGCAGAGAAACACGTGCTCCTCTCTGTCCAGGAAGCAGCCTGTCTGTAGATAAACCAGGGAAGCTTTGGTACTTGGCTACAAGTGAGAGAGAAGGAGGTAGCAGTTGAAGAAAATCTGTTGTCGGTTTTTCTTTGCCTTGAATGCTTATTCCATGAGTTTTAGCAGTTTAATCCTTGGAGAGTGCAATGCTGCTGGCAGTTAAGCCTTCCTTGTTGAGCTTTGGCATGTTCTAATTTAGCAAGAAAGATCATAGCACTTGGTGTGTATAGGGTTATATTTTATGGGAGTCTGAAAGTGATACACTATATATAAAAACTCATCTATGATTATCTTGGCTTGGACATAATTGATAGTTTGCAGTTTATCAGTAAGGGCCAAGTATCACTTAATTTTTTTCTTTTTTTGTGAAGGTAAATGAGCCAGAAATTTGTATTTAGTGAAACATTGATTTATTTGGCATTACAAATTCCGTGAACAATCCAGTTTATCTCTGCATAGTGTTTCTTTACTACAGGTTGAAATCAGTTGCTTATGTGTCTCATGTCTTAAGCAGGAATGATACAATACATTGACAGTTCAAATAGCTTCCTATTTCAGTAATCAGAGCACCATAAAACCTAATTCCAACTGCTTAAAAAAGAAACCTGAAATATTTCAGACCTACCCTCAAAGTAACCCCTACCCAGAATTTGTGTTCATGCTTTGTGTTAGTTTTCTGTTACTGCATATTACAGATTACAGCAAATTTAGCAGCTTGAAACATTACACATTTTACCATCTCACAGTTTCTGTGAGTTAGAAAACCACACATGGCTTAGCTACATCTTCTCCTTAGGGTCTCACAAAGCCGTGACCAGAATGTTGGCCAGGGTGCATTCTCATCTGGAGGACTGACTGATGAAGAACCTGCTTCCAAGCTCACTAAAGGTTGTTGTCAGAATTCATATATTTGCACCTGTAGAACTGAGAGTCCTGGATTTTTCTGGCCTTTGGCTTCCCTCAGCTCCTAGAGGCCACCTACAGTTTCTTGTCATGTGGACCTTCCCAACTTGGAGGCTTACTTCATCAAGCCATATAAGAGACTAGAAGGAGTCTCCTAGCAAGACAGAGTCCTGTATGATGGTATAGAATCACAGTGTGACATCTCATCACCTTTGCCATATTCTGTTTTTTAGAAGAAGCAAGTCACAGGTCCCACTCACACTCGGGAAGGAGGCTTCAAAACAAAGGTGTGAACACCAGGAAGCAGGCATCATGGGAGGGGCACCTTTCGTCTGTCTGCCACATCCTTCTCTTGCTTTTCTTTATAGTTTTACAACCCGAGTGTGCTTTTCTAAAGAATATTGTCACATTTGCATGCTTTTGAAACTTTGTATAAGTGGAATTTTACTGTAGCTATTCTACAACTTGCCTTTTTTTTTTTTTTAACTTAACATTGTGAGATTAATCTATGTTAATGCCTATTCCCGCAGTTCATTTATTGTTCAGTGTGGCATAGGATTCCTTTACTTAAATGTACATTTTAATTATACGATTTTTTGTCACAATATATTTGCTGTTTTTGTTTTTTTTCCAAATCTAAGCAATGCTACCTTGATTATTTTTGTATATGTCTCCTTATGCACATTTACAAGAAATTCTAGGGAATATACCTATAGTGGAGTTGCCTTGGTAATCTGCTTAACAAGATAATTCCAATTTATTGTCCAAAGTAGTTCTGATTTACACTCCCAATAGGAGCGTTTAACAGTTCCAGTTGTTCCACATGCTCCCCAAAATGTGGTTTTTGATTTGTGCCAGTTTTGATTTGTGCTTTTGATTTGTGCCAGTCTGATGGGTATGATATGGTGCTTTGCAGTTTTAGTTTACATTTTCCTTATTACTCTTGTAATATGTTCATTGATCAATCTTGTGTTCTAGTGTGAAGATATTAATAGTTCTTGGAGTCATTTCCCTGTTTTTCTATTATGCTACTTTATTGTTTTAAATACTGCTTTTCGGATGTTCTTTGTATATTCTGGATACTAATTCCTTGTCACTTTTGAATTTTGCAAATTTCTTCTCCAGTGTAAAACTTGTTTTTACTTTCCATTTGGTGCCTTTTAATAGGCAGAAGTTCTCAATTTAAATGCAGTCGAATTATCATTATTTTATGGGTTTTGCTTTTTGCATCTTAAGAACATTGAATCTAAGTCTATATTGAAGTCACAAAACTTTCTCTTATGTTTCCTTCTAAAGTTTAATATTTTACCTTTCATGTTTAAATATTTGATTCAATGTTTGTGAAGAAGGGATCCAGGTTCATTTTTTCCTCATATAAATATCCAGCTGCTACAACATTATTGAATAGTCCATCTTTATCCACTAATTTGCCTTGTCCACTCTGTCATAAATCAGATTGTTACTTATGTACATAGATCTGTTTCTGGACTAATTTTATTTTTTCTGGTTGTCTCTAACTGTCTCTGTTCAGTGCTGTTTTCATTTTTCAATGTTTTGACATCAAAAAGACCAAATCCCTTTACCATGTTTTTCTTTGTTAGTGTCTTTTTTGTTCCTGACTCTTTGCCCCTGTATATCAAGTTTATGGTCAACTTGTCAGCTTCTATGAAAAGCCCTGTTGAGGCTTTGATTGGAATTACTTTATGTCCATACACCTATTTGGCGTGAATCAGCATTTTATAATATAGCATCTTTCCTTCCATGAATGTATTAGGTTTATTTATCCGTTTATTTAGGTCATTTTAAATGTTTTTCATAAAGTTTTATAGTTTTATTTATAAAGCGTTTTGATCACTTTTGTTAGATTTATTACCAGCTATCTTATATTTTGTTGCTATTCTAAAAATTGTTTTAAAATATACATATTTTATATTTATTGCTATGTATTCTATTTATGCATTTTCTATTCCTATAGAAGTATAATTAACTTTTGTATATTGATCTTGCATTTTTGCCACCTTGCTAAGCTGTCTTACTAATTACAACTTACCTGTAGCTTGTTTTAAGTGGATGGTCATATTGTGTAGATAATTCCATTTCTTTCTATTCAGTTCTTATAATCTTTCTATCTCTCAGCCCATCTTTAGAGCTACTTTGAGAGTTGTCATTGTGTCAGAACACATACATTTAGATGTAACATGTGCCTTCATTTTCATGAAGTTTCTAGAGTCTACCCTAGCACAGGGGCCTCACCTTCCTCTGAACCTTAATGGATTTACTTGCCTATACTACCTTTTTGTTGGTCACTCTGTGCTTGTGATGTTAGCAATCTTTGTACATGTTGTATCTCAGCCATTTTTTCTCTTCATAGCATTAGGGCAGCACCCCAGGCCTATGAGCACCAAAGATTGGTTGGTTGGTTAATTGAAATGCTTTCTGGGTACTTGCATTTATATGGTAGATATATTTCTGAAGACTTCACACAATGCAAAATTTGAATCATTTGAGACAGTATTTCCATAAGAATAAATATGATGTACAGGGAACTAATAAATCTAATGTACTTGTACTTATATATTTTTGCTGTAAATGTACTCTATTCTCTCATTAATGTGTTCCTAATATGTCACAGCATGCTCTTCCATATGAACAATATAGCATATAATAGCAGTCTGACCTTTTTTTTGGCATTTTTATCACATCTAACTACCCTTCCAAAGTCATTCTTTTGTGTTACTTGGCACTAGCACCAGCCCTTGTTGAATACTTGAAGAACATTATAATAGTAAAACAACTTTAAATGATAATAGTAATAATAAGTGTTCAAAGAATAGCACAGTAGTCACCAGAACTGGTGTATGACGTGGTTCATATAAATAACTTAACCAGGGGTTATGGGGATCACCTAAACTGACAATACCAGGTCACAACAGAATTTATATTACTTAGCCATAAAGCTTATGATTAAATGGGAATCTAGACAATTTTTTAGTATTTGATAAGTTTCAGTATTTCAAATTTTACTCATAAAGTGAAACTTTTGTTGTATCACACCATTTCAAATGTTCATATTTCAGGTTTACATGAAATGTTGCTATACAATATCTTACTGGTGAATAAAAATAACTTTACAAATACCAATTAATACTTCCTAATGCCTCCTTACTTGTCTTCAATCATTTTTCTTTGCCCAGGTACCATTAGGCTTCTCAGCTCCACCAGATGACCTCCCCCCAGTCCTCCACATGGCATACTGTGCTCTGGAAAACCTGTATCTTCTGATGGGAAGAGAACTGGAGGTACCTCCAGGAAATGTGCTAGGTAGGGTGATGCTGTTTATTATATCCTTATTCCATTTTAGGAGATTATCTAACTTGTCACTGAAACTTTAGTGAAATTTTTGAAGGGAATAACTTTATTCTTTAGTTTGATAATTTTTTTCCCCTGGTATCTTTAACTTAGTACATTTGAGTAACTAACATGGAGATCAGTTACTTTCTGTGAATTATAGTAGCTGTTTTAAAAATGTTTTGCTTAAGTAATTTGTAAGTGCTGTAGCCCAAGCTGAAGTTCCATTTATTTCAGAGTGAGAGGGGAAATTCCTGCTCACATAAAGTCAATCTAGATGACTAAGGCATTTCTGGTTCTACAGATTAGATTCTAAATTGTTGGAAACTATTCTGATGTAAAGGTCTATTTAAAGTCATTGCTTTTTTTCCCAATGCTTTTATCTTTTGAGCATTGCTTTGCTAAGATTAGTTGATTGTCGGTTTATATCTGTAAATATTATTCTTCATCTCCTTAATGTTATCACTTGTTTGACTTCTGCTCCTCATGTGCAGAATTCACTTTTTGGGATTCTTAGTGCAACCCTAAAGACTCAGATGAAGAAATTTCTCTTGGATCCAGAGTATATTATAGAATACTGTATCCCATTGCACTGTTAGATTCTGAACCCTTAGGGTCATTGTCAGCTATGGAGCTATTTATTGAGTGATTGCTTGGTTTGGGAATTCTCAGCTTTTTAGAAAAAGCTTTAACTTTTTTTTAAAAAAGTCTAGTCTGTTGGTCCAGAATAGCTAATGGTTTGCCTGGATTTTATAGATTTAAATCCAAGAAATTTGCCAAAACATGTTGCCATTCACCTACAGAGATATATTCTTTTCTTTCTTTAATTTTTTGGCATGATATTTGTAGAATGCTTAGCTTCTCATCATTGTTACCTATTTTCTTTCATCTCTTTGGAAAATGCCATTTAACCTTAACACTTGATATACCTTTGTAAGCTGCCACAGCCAACTTTATCAGAAAAGGACATTGGAAGAATGGAAAACACCCTACTTTTGTTCATAAGCCTTCCTTGAGATTACTGTATTGCTCAGATTAAATGGAACATGAGGTATATCTCCAACATGATGCTCAAGGGAAAGAAAAGGTATTCTGCTGAGTGAATGGTTTTTATACGATCTTCTCTAATTAAGGCCTGGTGCTTGTGTTCTTTCCCTAGTAGAGGATGAGAATGTGACATGCATTGGTTTCTGGTTTTCTTTTTTCTTTCTGTTGCTGAATTTCTAGATGGTGTCCAGGACTGAGGTTAAGTGGTGTGTAAGGAGAGAAACCATTTCTCTCTCTTCTGCTTCCCAAGGCAGCCTTGGCTCTGCCATATGGTACAGGGAGACAAAGCTACTATAAGCTAAAACTTTTCATTTATTCTTAGAGAAGAGATATACCTTGACTTCTTTTATTGATCTTTTAAAAAAAGTGAGAGGGTAGCACAACATGGGGTAAGGATGAAGTTGACTAAATTTTGTTTAGCAAATTTACTTATATAAGACTAAGCCAGATGGACAACTACTTTGTTTAGATAGAAGAGGAAAAGTCAGATTTATTTCCTATACGAGTTAGGATTGTATTTAGGTGTAAGTAACCAGAAAACTAACTGCAGAGTCTTAAACTTCACTCAGTAGGAAGCCTAAGGGTGGACGGTGTCACGACTCTTTTATGTCATCAAGGAGCCAGTGGCTCAGCATGTGGCTTTTGTGCCCATAGAAGCAAGATGGCCTTATATCTCTGTGAATCATATCCGCATTCCTCACAGGAAGAGAGTACAAGGGTCAAGACCTTCTAACAGGATTGATATTTTTATTTGGAAAGAAATGGCCTCTCTAGTGACTTCTGTATATATTGTCATTTTTGTAATTTTGTCATATGCCCACTCCTAGCTGCCGGGGAGGCCTGAGATTGAGTGTTTTACTCTTCCAGCCTCTGTAGTTAAGGCAAAAGTTACTGGGGTTGTGAATGGCTTTTGAATAGCCAGTCCACACTCTTAGAGCTGCATTTGCTTTCCATTCACCTGGTGATGCCTGAGGTGCCTCTGTTAAGGTTCTGTTTTCTTTACATTAAAGAGAAAGATAGTCCACCAGAAGGATTTTGAGTGTAACACTGAAGGAATTGAAATGCAACCAGCCACTTTGATGGGACTTTTTGAATTGAAACATATAGTAATTGTTTTTCTTTTATTAATTGAAATCTAATTGAGTCCCCTGCATGACTAGGAAGGATGAGTATACCAAAATTACGGCCATAGTTTTGCCACTAACTAGTTATATGGCCTCAGGCCAGTTATGTAACCTTGCTGGGCTTGTTTTCCCAAATGATTTGAAACGGAGCAATGATTACTAATATTTCTTGTGATAGAAATAGAAACAGCCACTTTTAATTTTTTTATAAGAAGACTGGATTCCCAGGGATACTTTTATTTATCCTAACTGCGATTTGTCATATATCCTCAACTTTAAAGATAAAGCATTAAATAACATTGCATGGAGTATATTTATTTTATTGCTGTAGCTATAAAATACTAACAAAATTGTATTTATAATTTTTTGGTAAAATACAAACAGAATTGAAGTCTAAAATTGTCATTATATGATGACAGGTTGACATCCTAAGTGGACATGGAGTGAGGTAAACATTTTTTACTTATGTCATGAAGATCTTCCCTGGATTTTGTCAGTTTCCCAGTGGCTTAAAAAAAGTTCTAAACTAGATTATCTTCAAGATTGCTTCTAGCTTTTAACATTTCTTAAAAACCTTATTTCAGTAATTAGAATATTTCCCTCCCTAGTGTTTATTAGGAGGAACAGTAAATGTTTTGATACGATTACTTAGTTCGATGGATAACCCATTTTAATGGCTTCATTAAAACATCTTGAACTGGTTACCTGCCTTAAAGTCATAGGATTACCTTTTTAGGAAAATTTTACTTGTTCCTTGATTAAAAATATGTAGCATATGTTGGCAGTAGCAGCAGTCTCATAAGCCAGGGTGTTTATTAAAAGCAATTTTTCAAAGCTAGGAGTAAGTTTAAGACAAGACAGAAGAGGCCAAAGAGTCTGGTATATTAAGGGGTGAGAAGAAAACTGCCTAAGAGAAGGCTAGTTGGCAGCCACAGGTAATAAATGCTGGGGTTCCAGCTTTTGGCTTTCTAGGGTGAGTTGACTGCGACCAGGTATGTCAGTGCATTTTTATTTTTCTTTGAAACAGATTTGTCTTCTCAGGTAGTTTTGAAATGGAAAGAATAAGATGGCTGCATTTGGCTGAAATAATCTATATGCTCCAATTACCTATTGTTGCATAATAAAACACTCAAAGCCTAGTGACTTAAAATACAGATAGTCCTTATTTTTTCAAGCATCTGCCATTCAGGCATGGTTTAGTGGGAATGGCTTGTCTCTTCCATGTGGTGTCTTTTTTTTTTTTTTTTTTTTTTTGAACAGAGTTTCCCTCTTGTTGCCCAGGCTGGAGTGCAATGGAGCAATCTCAGCTCACTGCAACCTCTTCCTCCTGGGTTCAAGAGATTCTCCAGCTTCAGCCTCCCGGGTAGCTGAGATTACAGGCACCCACCACCATGCCCAGCTAACTTTTGTATTTTTAGTAGAGACGGGGTTTCACCATGTTGGCCAGGCTGCTCTCAAATTCTTGGCCTCAGGCGATTCACCCTCTTCAGCCTCTCAAAGTGCTGGGATTACAGGCATGAGCCACCACGCCTGGCCGCACGTGGTGTCTATTGAGACGGCCCAAAGCCGGGGCTAAAGTCATATGGAGGCTATTTCAAGCACATGTCTGGAGGCTGATGCCAGTTGTTGTCTGGAACCTTGGCTGGGAGTGGAACTAAGGCCTTTCCATATGGCTGCTTGGCTTCCTTACAGCATGGTGGCTAAGTTTTACGGGTGAGCGACCCAACAAGGAGAGCCAGGAGGAAGGTATATCGTGTTTTTATGACCTAGCCTTCAAAGCCTTCAGCCCCACTTCTGCCACATTCTGTTTATTAGAAGTGAGTCACTGCACCTGGCCCATGTTCAAAGGGAGGGAACTGACTCTGCCTTTTGATGGGAGGCATGTCAAAGTATTTGTGGATATGTTTTAAAACAACCACATTGCTAGTCGTAGATAATTTCTTGTTTCCTTCTGCATTTTAACAGACACATGACAGGACACATATAAAGAGATGTTCATAGTGATCAGGGCAGGCCTGTAAACTTCATCTTTTTTACTTTTGTTAAACTTTGAGAAAAAGTTGTAATTCCTATTTAATAAGAAAATAGTGGAGACCAGTATGATTGATACCCATATGCTTTTCATCATAATTGATATGGAGTCAGTAAATTTATAAAGTGCAGATGAAAATTTTTGTTGGAAAAGGAAATGAAAACATTATATGGCATTCTTGGACAATTCAGCATTATTCAAAGTCCAAAGGAAAGTTCTTTTATTGGCACTTGAAAAATGCAGATTTCACATTTGAACTCAGCTATAAGTCATTTAGAGAACTTATATGTGCTGATAAGTGTAGAATAGATTTTGTGGTCTGGAAATAGTTGATTTAAAGTTTAAAGTTATTTAATTCTAACCTGATGTTTATAAAGTTAGTATAGATGGGACCAGAGAGACCTCACCATGTTTAGCACACAATAGCCTTTTGTTCAGTTCCCTGCTGAGAATATCTCTAAAAATAAATGTTTGCTACAGGCTCCTATTAAAATGTGAGGGGAAATTGAATTAGGATTCCAAATCGTTAGCCTTTTCATATACTCCTTTAGATCTCTTCCATATGGTTAAATCTTTAAAAGTTGAGGGACGTATTCTGAGAGGAAACATGATATTCTTCTTTTCACAGCATAAGGAAAATAATGAATATTAATTAGCCTTTTTCTGAACTGGTTTTAGTTCTGCCATGGTTGGTTGCTGGGTCAGTAGGAATTCCGTCAGTGTTGATAATCTGTGTGTGTGTGTGTGTGTGTGTGTGTGTGTGAGAATCCTTAGTCACGTGGGATAATCTAGGAGTCAGAAACCTTTGAAGAGTTTTACTAGCAAATTTGATTTAATTTAT